CGCGTGGTGGGGACGGGCGCAGCGTGGTGATGGGGGGACGGGGGGGCAGGGTCACCACCGGGGCACCGGGAGGACAGCGCGGCCACTCTGCCCTTGTCTGGTCTCTGCGGATCGGAGGTTCATACACGGCACGTTTATTCAGGCAAACGAACCGACGGAAGGTGGGACAGGAAACCTCGGGACCCGACCCGGGTCATGCCCAGGGGGTGCCTGCGGACACTGTGGGTCCCTGAGCCACAGGCGAAGGGGCACCCCTGTCAGCAGGGATAAGGGCGCCCTCCAAGGGACACGGGTCACAAGAGCCAGCCGTGTGCCGGGACAGCGTCTCTGTCTCTGTCACCTGCGCCCCCGAAGTCACGTCCCGCCAGGCATGACGGAGAGACCCCTCTGTGACATTCGCGTCACAGAGGCAGGCGCCGTCTGAAAAGGCAGGAAGGCCTTACCCCAGGGCCCGCCTGCCGGCGCCGTCTCGAGGAAAGGACGGAAACCCGGGCCAGCAGAGGGAGGGCAGCCGGCCGGTGCCAGTGCAGCTTCTCGGTCGCACGAGTCCTGCCCGTGGTGGCTTGTCTGCCCAAGAGCAGACGCTTGGGGGACAGGCGGTCCACAGTCGTCCGGTGCTGGGGCTGCATGTGGGGTGCTTGTTGCTGCCCCAGCTGGGCCGGGGTGACCTGGCCGGCTCGGGACACCTCCGAGGTCCCGGGTCGTCCCGGAGACTCCGGGAGGCAGACCCCAGACTCCTGCGTGGGCTCCGGCCCAGCCGGGCTTCTCGCCGCCCTGGGGCTCCGGTGCCGGGACGCAGCTGCCCCCTGGGGGGGGGGGGAGGGCCACCGAGGGTGGAAGAGGGGTCTTTGTCTCCCATCCTTGACAGTGATGATTTTGGTGAAGAAAATACACAGAAGGTATTAAATTGAATCTCAGTTCACTGAATCTTACTAAAGTGTTCTTGGGGAAAAATAAGATTTCAGGAAAAATTCAAAGGGAGAGGTGCGTGCAGGAAAGCGACAAACTAGAAAATAAGGGGAGACGGAGCGAGAGTTCTCCATCTGGAGACGGTCGGCGGGGGCGGGGCGCTGGGGCACCTGCTCTTCCTCCCGGCGTGCGGCTGGGAGGGACCCTCCTGAGCGGGGGCCACGTGGGGTCTCGGTGGGGCCCCGGGCAGCCGGGAACGGGTCGTGTGGGGACGAGTGTGCCGTCTCCGCTGCATGGCCCACCCAGAGCGCCACAGCTACCAGGGGCTGGCGTGGGCCTGGGTGTCCATTGCAACGCCCCCCAGGCTGGCCTCCCCACGGTCTTCGCACACACCCACTTCTTGAGACACGACGTACCCGACACGACGTACCCCGAAACTCGCCTCTGTAACGTGCCCCTGCCGTGGTTTTGTGTGTTCGGAAGGTGGGGGAGCCATCCCCACTTCTGATTCCAGAGCCATCTGTCCCCCCAAAGACACCCCCGTTCCCTCCCGCTCCCCGCCCCTGGCCCCCTCTGGTCCACTTCCTGTCTCTCTGTACTGGCCAGTTCTGGGCATTCCGTGACCGTGGGGTCATAGGGCATGGGGCTCCGGTCCCTCCCGTGCTCTTTCCCAGGCGTCAGCCCCCTCCCACGGCCGGGCAGGCCCCTCTCTCTCTGCCCCGCGGCTGACGGGCGCTGGGGTCCCTCCCACTTCTCCTGTCGGCGGCATGCCGCTGTGGACCTCAGAGTCGCGTGTCTGCGTGGGTGTGTGCCGGCACCCCAGAGCGGACTCGCTGGGCCAGCTGGTCCCCGAGTCTCTGAGGCGCCCCCGGCTGACTGTCTGTCGGTAGCGGCTGGGACATCCTGTGTCCCCCCGCCACGTGTGGGAGTTCCCGGGTCCCCGGGTCCCCACCCCCGCCACGTGGAAGTGCTCCTGTAGCCATCCCGTGGGCACGGAGTTGGGGTGTGCTCGTACGGGCTCCGTGCGTGCCCCGAGTTTGGGGGGCTGGCCCCGTCCCTGTGCTGCGGCCCGGCCTATTCTGAACATCCGTCGCTCGCCGGCCCTGGCGGTCAGCGGCGTCTCTGCCGCAGCCGCAGCTGTGGGGCCCCCGAGAGGCCGCGAGCTCCTCTGCCCTCCTGCAGGGCGGGTGCCCGCCCCAGAGGCGCTTCCTGCGGCCGGGGCTGCAAGCCACCTTCGAAGAACCTCTTCCTCGTGAACCGGGCGTGGACTGGCCCCCCCCCAGCACTGCGCTGAGTGGGGTCAGAGAGAAGGGCGTGGCTGGGGGCCTGGCGGGACGCCGGAGGACAGAGGTCACTGGCCCCCCCACCCAAGCAGGTGGTCACGGGGCAGCCTCAGCCCGGGAAGCCCTCCCCGCTGAGTCTCAGGACCGGGGAGGTCCAGCTCGCAGACACAGGCTGCCGCCGGGCCTGGCCACAGAGTGGAGGGTGTGGGGCCTCGGACCCCGGAAAGAGGCAGGTGGTGGCCCCTGCAGGTCACATCAGTGCTCCTGACCGCGCTGTGGGCGGGGCTCTGCCCGTGCGGCCCTGTGGGCAGGCTGCTGGGGGAGGGGCGCCGCCTCCGACCCTCCGGACCTGCTCACCTGCCCTCCGGACGTGTGCGTCTGAGCAAGGCCACCAACCTGTGAACGGGCGACACTGGACTCGAAGAGGAACACAAACCACGCTCCCCCGCCCTTGCAGCTGGTTTTTCTGCGCGAGGGCTGGGTGGCGTGGAAACGAGGGGGTTTCCATGGCAACCAGTGACCATCGCTCACGGTGGGCGAAAACCGAGGGAACTATCCTGCGTGTGAAGTTATGCGGGCCGGCAGGCCAGGCCCAGGCCCAGGCGCTGCTGCTGCTGCTCTTCCCGCGGGGACAGTGCCCCAGTCATGGCGGGGGCCGGCGGGCCGGCTGGCGGGCTGGCGGGCTGGCGGGCGGCTGCTCTCACTCGGCCGCCCCCTGGGGCCTCGCAGCCCCTGGCGAGGCCTGGTGGGAGGGTGCGGCGGGGGGGGGGGGATGAGGTGGCCTAGGCCCGCCACCAGGGGGGTGCGCTCCAGGCTGAGGCCGAGCACCAGCTCGAAGCAGCTGCCTCTCCTCCCCCTGAGGGCCGGGTCCGCCCAGGTACTCGGACGCTCGGAGAGCCAGAGGCCCACAGGGAGCTGCCCCGAGTGTGTGCCCGGGGGAGTCTCTCGGGGACCTGACTTCCTGCGCGCGGTGGCTGTGGCCTTGGCCTGCTGCGCCGGGAAGCCGCGTCCCAGCAGAGCTGCGCGCAGGGCTGTTAGCCCCTCACGAGCAGTGCCCGGTTGCTGCGGCAAAGTGCTTCCACCCCGACGGGAAGACGGGGCTTTGTTGTGGTTTTGGGGGTCGGCCCTTTTCAGGCATCAGCGCCCCCGAATGCGGTTCGTTCCTCGAACGTCCCGTCACGTGGGGGACCAGGTCCGCCCCGAGGGGGTCGGCGTGGGATCGGGAGGGGACACGCTCACACACACACTCCCCAGCACTCACACATGTGCCGACACACGGTCACTTTCGCGCACAGAGGCACACTCACGCACTGACACAGAGAAACACTCCCCAACACACTCCCCGACACTCGCGCCTCGCTCACAGGCATGCAGGTGCGTTCGCACACGGGCGCGGCACACGCCCAGCTGCGCCCGGACTCACCCTGACCACGCGCTCTCTGCATTCGCACACTCGTGCATGCGGACGCGCCGGCTCGTACTCGGACACACACACCCGCACAGTCTCGCGCGCGCACAGACACGCAGCCCCGACACACTCCCGTGCGCAGGCTCTCACTCAGGGACTCCGCTCAGCCCTGGGGGTTTCCCTGTGAAGCCGCAAGCCCTCGCGTGGGCGGCTCTGAGCGGCTCTGCGGGCCGGCCCGGCTCATGCGGAGCCCTCGCCCACGCCTACCCTCCACGGCCGCCCACGTGCCGGGTTCCGGTCAGCCCCTGGGGTGCCCTTGGTGACGAGCGCGGGCTGAATGGCGCCTGGAGCTGGTTCTCCGGCACCTGAGCTGGCGGGAGAGGCTGTGCGGGCCGGGTCCCCACCCCCTTCCGCGTGGCCGTCCCGAGCTCTGGGTGGCACGTGGCGGTCCGCGAGCACACCTGGAAGCTCATGACCCCGAGAGAGGCGGCCTGCCCCCCGCCTTTCCCCAGCCCCCGGGGAGCTGGGGGGCGGATGGGAGGGTTTCCAGCCACCGGCGGGCAGGTGGGCAGGGAAGCGCAGGTGCCCACTGGCGGCGCACCTGGGCAGAGCCGGCGCGCCCGTGAACTTTCCGCGGATCCACAGCAGGGCGAGACCCCGAGGAGGCCCAGACTGGGAAGGTTCCCCGGGAAGACATTGGCAGTCACAGCTGCTTTGAAACGTGCATGTTCGGCTGATACTACGAGGCGGAGGAGGGGGTTTGCAAGGCACACAGCACGGGGTGGGGGCGGGGTCAGGACGTGCCGGCTTTTGGGCCCCACGCAAAGTCCAGCGGGTCCGTCCGCACTGAGCGTGGACGCCTGTCCCTCCAGAACTCAGCAGAGGCGGCTGCGGGCGGAGGGTCGCCCGCCCTGGGTGGGTGACCGTTGTGACGCCGGGGAACTTGTCGGTCCCAGTGGCCCTGCCCTGCCCTCCCGTGTCCTAGCTCCCTGTTTTATTCTGGGCGTGTTCAGCAAGGCGGGGTCTGGGAGGTCGGCTGGTGGGCTCCACAGCGGGGGGCCTGGGACTCAGCCTCCACCCGCGCGGTGGGCGGGGTTAGCGGCACGCCCCCTGTCTTGGGGCTCCCTGGAGAGACGAGACACGTGACTGCACGCGGGAGCCAGCTCTCAGGAGCACGTGTGGTCGGACGGTTCTCTCAGAATCGGACGAATAGATCCCTGGATGGGCCTTGGAAGTCTGCTAACGAGGGTTTTGGGTTCCCTTTTGAAGCGGGGATGAGCGGGGGGTCGTCCGGAAGAGCAGGCCCTCTGTGTGGGGCCGGCGGGGGGGGGGGACGGGGAGGGGGAGGGGGCGGCGCCCCCGCAGGCCCCGCACTGACCTGTGTCTGTCTCTCCGCGCAGCTCCCTGTCCGTGCGCTGGCCGGGCCGCTCCCTGGGAAGTCAGGCTTGGATTCTCATAGCCATGTGTCAGCTCGCCGTTGACCTGCCCGCCTGTGAGGCCCTGGGCCCCGGCCCCGAGCTCCGGCTGCTGCCCCGGCCCTCGCCCCGGCCGCCCCGCTTGTGGAGTGCCAGGAGCGGACAGCCCGCCCGGATCCCCGCGCCTGTGTGGAGCCCGCGCCCGGCCCGCGTGGAGCGCAGCCACGGACAGATGCAGAGTCCCCGGGCCAAACGGGCGCACAGACCCCGGGACCAGGTGGCCGCCCTGGTGCCCAGGGGCGGGCTCGCCAAGCCCCCCGCGGCCGCCAAACCCAGCCCTTCCCTGGGCGCCTCCCCCTCCCCCTCGTCCCCTGCGGTGGGCGGCGGGGCCCCCACGGACCGGCAGGCCCTGCTCAGGCGGGGGAAGAGGCAGCTGCAGGCAGCCGGCTTCAGCGGCTTCGACTTCCGGGGCGGCCGACCCACCACGGAGACCGAGTTCATCGCCTGGGGGCCCACGGGCGAGGAGGAGGCCCTGGAGTCCAACGCCTTCCCCCACGGCCCCACCACCGTCTCCAGCTTCCACACGCGGAAGACGACGGTGGCCGCCACCACTACGGCCACCACGGCCGCCTCCGTGACGCTGCAGACTAAGGGGGTCACCGCGCCCCCGGCCCCCGGGAACAGGGTCCCGGGCGGGGTCAGCACAACGCAGCCTTCCACCAGCCCCAGCCGAGACCGCGGCACAGACCCGAAGCCCCCACGGATCCCGGGGGAGACCGCAGGTGCGTGCCCTCCTTTCTGCTCGGGGTTCGCTCGGGGGCGGGGGGGGGGTTCGCTGGGGGCCTGGCTGGGGGCGGGGGCTGAGCCCGGCCCGGGCGGTGCTTCTCGGTGGCAGGACCCTAAACCAGGGGAAGGGCCGGGAGTCGGGTGTGGGGCCTCCGGGAGGGACGGGCGCTGCGTGTCCGTGAGCTGGCCCATGTGCTCGCCCCGGCAGGCGTGGGCGGCGCCCCAGGAGGTGGGGCCAGGCCACTGCGGCTGGCAGACAGGCAAGGCCTCGAGGGGGGCTCCGTGCCCGCCGTGCGGAGTGGGGGCTGCCGAGCCGGGCCGGACGTGGGGCAGATGTGGGCGCAGCCCGTGTGGCCAGGAGCGTGTGGGGCCTTCGGGTGCCCTCACCGTGTGGCTCTGCGGGTGGCCGCTGCGCAGGGGGCCTGAGACGGGAATCGCTTCAGAGGGACGGGGCGGCCGAGGCCGCGGGGAGGGAGGAGATGCCTGTGCCCCTCGCCGGGGCCCCGCGGAGAGACGCAGGCCCGGGGGTGGCGTTTCCGAGCGGGTCTGCAGGGGGGAGGTCGGGGCGGACGGCTCCGGCCCTTCGGCCTCGGTCCCTTGGGTGCGCGTGGACATTCCCCTCCGTGGCTCTGGACCTCGTCGGCCCACAGCGTCGTTCTGTGGTTTTCCGTCTCTCCCGGCTGCTTCGTGGGGGGAGGGGCTGTTAGCCCTGCCCCGGGCCAGGGCCCGCCTCCGCCCCCAGAGCCCCCAGCCTGCACCCACGCCACGAGGGGCTGAGGGGGGCCCAGAGCAGGGGGCGTCTGGGTGCCCACTGGTTGGCCCCCAGCTTCCTCAGCCTCTGAGGGGCTGCAGCTCCAGCTCACAGGTGGGATCCGGGCGAGCACACCCCGGAGAAGCACCCCACTTGCTGACTGGGGACGGGCACAGGGGTGTGGGGAGTGATGCCATTCTCAGGGCATCAGCCCCCAGGGCTGGGGGCGCCAGGCGGCCTCTGCCACCCACCACCCAGGCTTGCTTCTGCCCGTCCAGAGGTTTGGGCTCTGCGGGCCCCGAGCGGGCCGGGTCACACCCCAGGGGAAGGAGGGGATGGCTCCTCAGGGTCCGCCCGCAGCGCTGTTCCCTCTGCCCGGACCTCGGGCTGGGTCTCGACACCCTCCGGGCCGGCAGGAGGTGCTCGGGCTCCCGGGAGGGGGCGGCTTGGTCCCGTGGCCGACTTTCTCCTTTCGCCAGGGCGGGAGGGGTGTGGCCCTCCTCCTGGGCGCCTCCTCCCCAGAGAGCAGCGCATCCGTGGGGGCGAGCCCGGCTCTGCGACTGGGAGCTCCGCACACCACGGGGGCAGGGCAAGTCTGCGGGCGGACCGCAGCCCAGATCCGGCCTGGAAGTCAGGGCCGCTGGGCCAGAGGGCAGGTCGCAAGGCATTGGGCTGCCTCAGTCCACTCCTGAGCCGTGGCGGCGATCGAGGAACGGAGGGCTGCCTCCCGTCGCCGCCACCGCCTCTGCACACGCCACTTACCGTGGGGCCTCGGAGGAGACGCTGAGCGCCCGTTGACTCAGAGTTACGCGCGTGACCTCAGAGTGGAACGCCGGGGACCGCGGGACAAGCGTCTCGAATTCATCCTCAGTATGCCGGTGTCTCTAATCCAACGCGACAGATGCTTGTCTTGGAAAAGAGCGGCGGTTCTTCACCATATAATGTGGCGCAAGACTGATTTGTTTAGCACAACAGACTTAAAGGGGTAACTGTGTGTGTTCTGACGCAGAGAGGTGCTCATCTCTTGGGGAAGGGGTGCTGGGGGGCCCAGCACGGGCAGCCAGCCTCCGGCCCGAGGGGAGGGAGGGCAGGGAATGCTGGGACGACTGCGCCCACTGGTGGCCGCTGAAGGCCAGGCCAGCTGGCCTCACGTGTAAGGGACACAAGCGCCCAAGGCACCGAGCGCCTGCGCGGGCACCCCGGGGATCGCCGTGGCCTTTGGGCCCCGTAGCTCCGGGCCCCTCACTCTCCGTGGGGCCTGACCGCTACGGGCACATCTCAGGCAGAGCTCCAGGTGGTGGGGATGGGAGTGTCTCAGGGATGGCAGGGCTGTGCGTGTGGGGTCAGTCATACGTGTCACCCTGGGCCCCACCGCGTGGGGCTGCGCGACCCCAGGAAGGTTCGTCTCCGTCTGCTCCATGCTCCTCCTCAGTGACGGGGAAGACACGCCTCTCCTAAGTGCCGGCCGGGAGGGCCCGGCCAGCGAACCGGGTGTAGGGTGCCGCACCTGGCACCTGAGAACCACCTGCACGCCTGGCGTTTCTGTTTTTTTTTAAAGATTTTATTTATTAATTTCTAGAGAGGGAAGGGAGGGAGAAACAGAGAGAGAGAAACATCCATGTGCGGTTGCTGGGGGCTGTGGCCTGCAACCCAGGCATGTGCCCTGACTGGGAATCGAACCTGCGACGCTTTGGTTTGCAGCCCGCGCTCAATCCACTGAGCTACGCCAGCCAGGACACCTGCCGTTTCTATACCCAGCGAGGGTGACTCAGAGAGCAGCGTTGCCGTCGTCAAGGGCAGCCGGGCCGGGCTGCCAGGGACGCGGGAGTCTGGTCCTCTTGGCTCGCCCATCTGTGAGGCCGCGCTCACTGCCAGGCCTCCCCAAAGCCTGGGTTCGGGGTTCTGGCAGCGCTGGGAGGGAGCGAGGGTGCCCCCCGCCGCCCCCCCCCCGCCGCTGTGTTCCAAGCCAAGACGGGGATTTAAGGGCTGATGCTGCGAAGTCAGGTCTGCTGTGCAAACACCGACGCCTGGGGTCGAGCGTCATGAGTGTTGGTTTTGCCTCTGTGGAGGAGTGCCTCGGGGGGGCCCGCTGTGGTTTATTGTCTGTCCGTGGCACGGGCGCGGGTGGGCGTAGAGAGGGCAGTGGCTGGTGGTTTGGGGCGCTCTGCGACCCCTCCAGAGCCAGCATTACATGCAACACTGACTGGGGTTGTCAGAGCCCCCCTCGCCCACGGCCCCGCAAGGGAGGCGGGCGGAATCTCCCCTGGTGCAGCGGGTCAAAGGGCCGCCACTGCCTTCACACTCCTGGCGTCGTCTGTCAGGGGTGGCGTGCGCGGGGGCAGCCTGCCTGTGCTCTCTGTGCCTCGGTGGAAACGGCAGAGTCAACCGTCTGTGTCACAATGTTGCAAAGATTGAACGAGACGTTCGTGCCTGGTGCTCAGTGTTTGACCCGCGTAGCTGCTCAGGGCACGTTTGCTGCTGTTCACGTGACAGCGGTGATGGCAGTGACGAAGATAACAGTGGTGACGAAGGTGATGGGTGTGATGGGGGTGATGCTGGTCATTGTGATCACGGGGATGGTGATGAGGATGGTGACGATGGGGAAGGCGGTGATGGAGATGCTGGTGGTGATGAAGGTGGCGATGATGATGACGACAGATATGATGAGGGCGGTGTTGGTCATCGTGACCGTGGGGATGGTGATGACAGCAGTGATGACGGTGGTGGTGATGACGACCGTCGTTATCTTTGGGACGGTGTGTGGCCGCCAGCTTGCTGCCCCGTCGGCGGCTCCGTGGCGGCGTTCTCCGATGAGGTCCTCTGACGAGGTTCCACGTCCTCACCCGGGACCCGGGGGCTCCCTGTAGAGGCGGAGACGGCACCGGCGAGGACCCACAAGCTTGGGGTGGAAACTCCCGCAGCTCAGGCTCTCGGAGGTGCTGAGCTCCGGCCTCACCCGGTGCTGGCAGAGGGCGGGCGTCAGAGGGGCTGGGAGTTCACCCGAGGTCGAGGGCGGAGGGCTCCCCAGGGTGACGTGCCCTCCTGCTGTGACAGCGCCCCTGCCGGGCGTGTTCTGAGTCTGGGATCACGCAGTCTCCCGGGGGGGAACAGAGAGCCATTTCCTGGGCTTTAACCCCGAAAGAAACTCGTCAAGGGAGCCGTGGGGAGCTGGAGCCAGCTGACTTCCGTCCCCGCCTCTGCCGCCGCGGGAGCTCCCGGCCGTGGGTGTTGCCCCGCGGCGGGTGTTGGGGAGCGCTCTGCCGGCCCTGACCTTGGGACCTGCCTGCCGGCACCTGGGCCCCGGGGCTGTCCTGCCTGCGCGGCCACTTCTGGCACTTGACTCTGCTGTCCCTGGCCACACCCGGCAGGGCCACGACGCCCCACGGATCTCCACTGTCACTCGGGGTCTGCTCCGTTGAGGACGGTCACGTATTTGCCAAGGATGCTTTCCAAGTTGCTTTGTCCTTGTCACCGGGAGGCCTTCCGCGTCCTTCAGCCGCGTCCCTCTGCGGCGAGCATGAGTGATGGACTGGCGTCACCTCCTCTCGCCCTGACGGCTACCTGCCCTGGACGGTGGCACGGCCTCGGGAGCAGGCCTCACGGCGACGACGGAACGGTTTTCCAAGCGCCGGGGCTGGGCCGGGAGGGAGAGCAGGCAGCCTCCCGCCGGGTCCCGAGCCCAGGCGGCGCTTGGAAAGCCGAGCCCCTTTTAATTAGCTTGCTGGGTGTTTGCTACCAGGGAAGTGAGTCCGTCCTTGATTTAAAGATATTGGAAGCAAATGACTCATGAACTTCAGAAGTTTCAAGTGGCTTAATTAGGATAAAAGTATCCACGCGCAAATCAGCCGGCAGAGCTCTCCGCGGAACGTCCCGGACTCTGTCGGTGGCCCGGCTGCCCCGGAGGGTCTAACCCGGGACTTTCTGAACAGACTCCATGGGGCACCTCCTGCGGGCGGCGGCGGCTGCAGTGGGCACCTGTGGTCTCGCAGGCAGGTGGGGCGGCGGGGTCCGCCCACAGCCCGAGGGCCCCCCCACGGCCTCCCGGGGCGCCCCTCTGCTTCTGCTGAGCACAGCCGCCTCCCCGGCGAACGAACGGGGAAATGAGCTCAGACTCATCACAGCAGCCTGGCTTCTGCGGCGGACGGCTCTGTGCTGGCCTCCTTTCATTTCCCCGCCACAGGCTCCCTGCTCCAGCTTATTGCATTTAGTGCTTCCTGAGCACCGCGGTCTCCCCCAGGGCCTCGT